ACTAGGAAAAAGCTATTTATCTGAAACAACCATTTGCCTGCGACATATATACTTTCCTTCATTTAATTGACTTTTTTTTTTTAATAAATGTTGTTATTATTATTATTTACGTCATTTTTTAATCTTGTTTAGAAAAGATCTACTGTATCAAAAGCAAGACTTAAGCCGTTTGCACACGGAGCAACTGAAAAGGAACTGATTAGTGGGCTACAAATACGTCTGGTGAAGACTCTGCCTGTGGACTATTTCAATGCAAGATGAGCGTTAACCAAAAAATTATCAAACCAAAAAAACCTTTACGATTCTTTGTCAAAAAATTATAGTCATACAACCTAATATTTACTAAATATCGGTTTATAGTAGAAGAAATCTTCATCTTTAATTTAAAATTAAAATTAGCTTTTAATTTCCATAAATAACCCTTCCACGATTTTTTTAAATTTCGGTTTACATTTTGATAAAATAGGTTAAATAGAAAATACATTCGTTTTTGTTTCCAAACATTTTAACCCAACATTTATTAAATATCATTTTAAAGTTTAATTTTCGATTATAATTTATTCTTGATTTTTCATAAAAGACTTTACAAATAATTAAAATATAACGCGTTTCAAACTTAGTAATTCAATTTATACTTAAAGAATATATATAATCATTAAATGATTTATTGAAATATAAAAATACAACTACATTTATGAGATATTAACACATTCTACAAAATATTTAGTCATAAAATGTTCTTGTTATTAATTAGATGTGCGAATGCACGAAAAAGATATATAAATAGGTTCATCCTTAAAAAAAACACTCCGTAATACATTTTTCGCTATAGGTTGAGTTTCAATAAATGTAGCCCAATCTTGATAATCCAAAGTTTGATTGGAACGAGTAAAACTCACATCGGCTTGATTCAAACAAACGTCGTATTTATAATTACAATATTCTGTTTGCTCATGTAAACCAAAAACAGAATACCGTAAAACCGTCGAAGAAATTTTAATTGTGGCTACATAAACTTTGTCACCATGTAGTAATAATCTACGATAAACCGATGGTTCATCGATGTCAATCCTCATTTTTTCAAAAGGCTTGATTATTTTTGCAGGATGACTCCTTGCCACGTGCGCGGAGTTCTTGTGTATAGGTCCCGTCCATTTACAACCATCCAGAAAACAATTAATCGTTTTGAATTTACAAGAAAATTCGTGTTTTGTAGCGGCATTAAATTTAAGCAATTCCACACAGCCTTGTTGGTAATATCGGCACGGGAAAACACTATTTTTTAAAACCATTTCAATTAAAGGAACTACTTCACCATTGGTTATCGTCGGAGAACTTAATGTCGGACATCTTCCGCACAATAATTTCCTATTAATTAACCGTATCGGAGCGACGTTAAGAAAACAACCACATTTGAAACATTTAAAATGTTTCGATTCAGTTTCGGAGATGTGAAATTCATTAACAAACATATTTCTTTTAAAACGATGTGATTGAACGAACAGGAAGAGATGACTAAAACTTGTTATTATCTCGAATAATACTTAAGAATACGATAAGAAAAAAGTTGTCTTTTTAACCCGGAACTAAATTTTATTTTATTTTAAATGGAAATAAATATGAAAAATGTACAGTTAGGAATTGTTATGATTTATATGGATTTGTTATTTATTTAGTTTAAATTAGATATGTTTCAACGTGCAATTAGTTTAATAATATAAAATTATTTAGAAACTAAAGCATTACAAGAAAATGGTTTATGTTGTCGTAGTAATAATGAAATATCTGTATTTTTGCTATTAAAACAGTGGGATTATTAAAAATAATCGAATGTTATGAAATAAGTACGTTTTAAGTGTATTTAATAATATAAATTATAAAAACGGCTATAAATAATAATAATAAATCTGAATGAGTTAGTTTTGCTAAATGGTTCAAATGCAAAAATCAAATATGTTCCTATCAGTAATATTAAAGCACCAAACTGAAAATATAAAAACATATAATCAGAGGAATAAACTAATCACTCTTCAAAGCACATCAACTACAAAGTAACTCAACTGCTAAAAAGCAACCCCAAAGATCAAACTTAACCGAAAAGTAAGTCAATCCAACTCTAAAGCAACTTAACTACAAAGTCATTCAACTCCAAATCAAGCTAATCCAACGCTAAGTGAACATAACCACAAAGGAATCCACCTTCCAAGCTAGTTGAAACACCTCAAAAGTAACTCAACCGCAATGCAAGCCAACTTAACCCATAAACAATTCACACTTGACAAGAACTAAAGCCTTCTTAAGTATATTCTAAGAAGATTTAAAGAATTCTAACTATATTTAAGAACCACAATGCGATTTCTTTCTGCATGTCCCCTATGATTCTGATGTATTGTATGTCGTCGATGATTGAAATTATAAGAAACGATACAAGTACCGCAACTCCTTAACAACAAATGCAAGTGTGGCATACCGCATAGAGCAATGCGAAATTTCCAACCTAAATTTGCTCTCTCTCCAGGACTAATTATACAATGGATATGCCAAACTCAAGAAATAAAAGACCTATTTCAACAATGCAACGAACACCTAAAAGATTATTTAATGTTATGGAAGAGCATTTGAAGAAGAAACTTAAGCTTCTGAAAAAAGCTGTAATAACAATTCGAGCATCTCCTGCTGTCAGGAGTAATACGTAAAGAAATTAAAAAGCAAGGAAGATTTGCTTCGAAAAGATATAAGGAAAGCATATGATCATGATCAACCAGTAGTGTCGCAAAAAGATATGGTAGGCTAAAAAAGCAATGGTAATCCAAAAATTTCAGAAAGATCGTTCGATAGATGTTTTCCTTTTCATCACAGGTTATGATGAATGACAAAAATTCTCCATAATTGGGTTATGGAGAATGTTTTTCGTGGGTTACAAGAGAATGATACCATCGAAGAACCTCGAATAACCAAAATCTCGAAAATAATGGCGACGCTACAAAGTGCTAATTTCCATCTGAAATGATAAGTATGCAAAAATCCACTTTCAAAAACATAAAAGGAAATAACATCTGTTCTTGATCTACTGGTTTAATTATAGGAAATTTATTTAATATTTTGTAAAATTAACTAAGTAAACATAATGTTTATAAATATAAAAAAACTATTGAATCATCATACAAAGACACATCATCTCACACTCCATTACGCCAGACGCTCCTAATGTTACTCTGTAGCCATATTATCACAAGGAAAATCGGCAGGCTAAACTTATTTGTCTCGCAAAAGTAAATGAGAAACAAAAAGAGCCGTTATTCAACCAAGTAAACGGTGCTTTTAGCTACTATACGCTATAAAACAATTCAGACCTTATATTTATGAAAGAAACCAATGATGATGCTGCCTCACATAGTAATCCTCATCCTGTCAGGTTCGTTTTTTGATACTATCCATTTGCTAGTTGGGTTTAGCGTATTGCCAATATTTGTATGGATCACTATATTATTTCTACTTATTTATTATTCCTGTACTAATTGGATTTCTACACCCACATCATGAAGTCAAGTTTCTTAACCAACTGTGTCATGTTTCTCTAGGACACACTAAATGCGTTATAATACAACAAAACACAATTCACTACAATTGTATCGTCGAATTTTGTCTCTCCACCTAGTTCTGGATCATCCAATGCTCCTTCATCACAATTAACTCAACATTATGCGATTAATGTAGTCCAGGGATTTTTAGTAATATCTTTCTGTTCTTCTATCGAATTCGTTTCAATTTTTTTCTTTTAATCGAATTTTATTAGTCCAACAGTGATTCCATGTTTATTTCATGTGCTTTTGTTTTTGGTTCTGGATTATTTCTCAGGTTAGGTGTTATTTTGATAAATCCAAAAAGAAAAGTATGGTCACTTTCTACATTCTTGTATATGGTTGCAATATAAAGTTACAATATGTTTTATTTATAAAGGATCTGGGCGTAACATCTGATTGGAATTTATTATTTGATTACGGTATTGTATGAGCATATTCTATCTAAATTTCTTAAGTACTTTTATTTTAAATCTTCTGTTTAATTCACTGATTATGAATCATCTATAATGATATTTTCTTCTATAGTGATATTTTTTTTTCAAAACTTTGTTCCAATTATAACAAATTGTTGTTTTATTCCCCAATTTGATAATAAGTTATTATCAGGTATTAGTTTTTGAATGAAGACATGAAATAACAAACTCACAAGTCAGTAATCTATTGGATCGTCAATATCATATGTCAAATATTGAAATAAAAAGAATACCAGAAGATGTTCCCCTTTGAAAATGGAAGTCCTAAAAATTGCAGAAAACTGATTCAGCATCCTTAAATCATCCTAGAACTTGTATCATCGGAACTCGAATTGAGATGACCTTCTTTATTACTTTGTATGTCACAAATTTTTATAAATAAATCGGAGAGCTAAGAAATGAATTTAGAGATTGGGCTTTTCTTAGAATTTAGTGTAAATACGAATGATCGAACAAAAAAGAACTTTTTTATACAGCTATTTAACCCAACCTAATCTATATATATTGTTAGATCTATTCGAAAGTCCCATTACGATCATGTTGCTTTCAAATCTTTTTTCCATCGATGTCATTTCCCCATATCCGTGAAATTAAATTTCTCTAGTCTACAATCTACGCCATCATACGATATTGTTTTTGATCTTTTAACTTTTGATTCCGGTTATACCATCACTATCACGATACATAAGTCAAAAATAACTATATTGGAGATAGAAAATATTTATCCTATTATTCTTTGTTTGGACATTTTAGGTTGAAAGAAATTTTTAATAAGAACTTAACTGAAATATTCAAATTTTACACTATATACATAGAGATATTTGCTGTGTTAGATTTTACTAGAATATAAATATGAATGTTTCCTTATTACTGCGACATTATCAATATATCATTTAATTTTCTTGCAACAACAGTTAATTATTTAGTTTTGTTTAGCACTTACTGGATATGGAGATATGCAAGGCTGACCCAAGGTCTGTTAAAGCGTTGCTGAGATCTGAATGATACCTCTCGAACAGAGCATCGTCTGTAAACCCAAGTTAGTAATAACCACAAAGCGAGTAATTAGTACTTTTTCTTATTTCAAAATTAATCACGATTTACCTAAGTATTATCTAAACCAAAATTTAAAAAAAAACAAATAAATAAACTTACATTTTCTATCGTTGTATAATCGCCTTATATTTACATCATCCAAAGTGCCACCTAATAAAGATTCGACTAATCGTTCGATAAAATCACGAACTTGCTCACGTTCTTTCTTCCTTAATTCCCTTAAGTCTTCATCTAATTCGTCGATTCCTTCTTGGTCCATATTTGAAAAAATTGTCCCTAAAAGGTTAAAAATAAATCTAAAAGGATAAAAAGTGAATTAAGAGATGTACCTTTATTTGGATGTATGGCGTTTAAAATTACTTTGAACCAAGCTTCTGGTTGCTGACAAAGCTGGCAAATCCATCCTTTCAATGGATCTCGATTCGAGCATCGAATTTTGCAAATTTTTTGTTTGCATTTCGTGCACGTTGCGACTCTTTCGACCTCGAGAACTCCTTGGATCGATCTAAATTGTCCACCGCAAACGTTACAGTGCCACGGTTTTGTAGCTTTGGTATTTCTATAAGAAAATCATAAAATTTTATAAAAATTAAATTTGAAACAATTTTTCTTATTTAAAAATAAATTACCATGACATGTTTAAATGTAACAATGATATCATTTCTTATCTTAAAATGTATCAAAATATTTGCAGATTCAATATGTTTCACGATTTTGATATAATAAGTTTGTTAAATATTAACAAACATAATATGAACATAACAGTTGTTAACATGTAAGAAATTTGAGAACACAAGGTTATTTAAGAGCCAAAAATAATCAAAAATAAATTTTTTTTCAACGAAAATTAAAACTAAAAAAATAAGAAACCCTAAAAATGTTGTTACCCAACAAAGTTGCGCAACACTCTCATAACAACTACTGACACACATCTGATTTTTCCTCCAATCCAATCCAAAGAAGAAAGTGGCGAACCGCGACGTATTCCGCTTTTACTTTCTTCCTTTAGCCAACAAACAGCGTGCAACGTGAGTGCTCAACAGTTCAGTTTGGTACGGTAAAAACAGCCGTTCGGGTCGAAAACGGTCGCAATAATTCGTACCTGTACTTAAAGCATCCTGTACATCAAGGTAGAAAAGAAGAAAAAAAAAACGTTTTAAATCCCATAAATGGGGCGCGCGGAAGGCTACAACTTATTTGTACAAATTGCTGTGGCGGTTCAAGTCTGTGATGTTGTTCTTCGGTCTCGTGACGAATCTCGATGAAATCACCGTAAAACATACGTTCAATCCGGCTTTACAAAAAATTGGACACGCTGGGATGGATTTTTTTATGATGATGTTTATGATTTGCGCCATCGAGGCTGTTATCGTTAAGATTCTCCTTTACGATCATCAGCAAGAAGCTACAAGGACCACTTCAGCTAGTATTTTCTTCGATAGAGATTAAGAAATTCATTAAGGCTTTTTAATGTGAAATAAATTTGTGATTATTTTTACCTTTTAAATTGTTTTTTATTTAATCCTTAAAGATTTTTAAAGAAACTTAGTATTATAATTTTTATTGTTTTATTTTTATTGGTTGTTACATAACAAGAAGTGTAACCTGGTTTTAAAGTACCAGTACTTTCTCTTCAATTGTGACGCTCTAAGAGTATTATGTAACTTTACAATACTAATCAGTTAACAAGTTGAGTATGAAAATTTGTTTATATACAACATTAACTCTAAGAAATTATAACAGTTATAATAAAAACTATACGTAGAACATTATAAGAAATAAAAACTTAAACATTTTTAAATAATTTGATTGTTATGTTAAATAAATTTTAAAACACTTTTATTATAAAAGCTGATTTTATTTCGCATCTGCATTGTATGAAGACATAAAGAATTCACAAGTTTGGAGCGAATTGTTTCCTTTTCCTCTATTGTAAGGCTGTTCAAGCATTAAAATATATTTCAGTGATGTTGCAGTATAGAAAAACTTTTATTACTAATATAAAAATAATACATTTTTTATTACGTTAGAAAATAAGTAACACTTGCTTTAGCTAAATCACATTATGATATTCAGAAAAACAGTTCTTTCTTTCATTACAACATAAATAAACATTGCACGCAGTACATTTTGAGTGGGGTCTAGCTTTGGCAGAACAATTTTCACAACTTCGTCTTTCTTTTGAACTTGCGCTACGACATTTTCGTGGCCGCAGTAAATTTGAATATTTATTTATCAGAGTTGTAGCTACAGAACGACGAAAATCTGATAGAATATTGAGAAAAAACATATTGAGAAAAATTTACATTTTCGTGTGTCAAAAAAGATGCTAATTCAAAATTTTCTGGAAGCCGTGTTTATTGAAATTAAGAAATGACACTTATTTTAAATTGAAGCTTAAAGCTTTCTGTTTAAATTGATATATAATAATCGTTGGGTTGGATTGGAAAAATATTGAAAAAAAAATTTTGAAACAAAACTTACATTTTTGTATAACCTAAGTGTCAAAAAAGACGCTAATTTAAAAATTCCTGGAAGCCGTATTTATTGAAATTAAGGAATGAGACTTGTTCTAAATTAAAGCTCAAAGCTTTCTCTTTAAAATGATGTATAATAATTGTTGGGTTGGATTGGAAAAATATTGAGAAAAAAAATGTTGAAATAAAACTTAAATTTTCGTATAACCTAAATGTGTCAAAAAAAGATGTTAATTTAAAAATTCTTGGAAGCCGTATTTATTGAAATTAAGGAATAAAACTTGTTGTAAATTAAAGCTCAAAGGTTTCTCTTTAAAATGATGCATAATAATTGTTGGGTTGGATTGGAAAAATATTGAGAAAAAAAATGTTGAAACAAAACTTACATTTTCGTATTATCTAAAAGTGTCAAAAAAGATGATAAATTAAAAATTCCTGGAAGTCGTATTTATTGAAATTAAGAAATGAGACTTATTCTATATTAAAGCTCAAAGCTTTCTCTTTAAAACGATGTATAATAATAGTTGGGTTGGATTGGAAAAATATTGAGAAAAAAAATGTTGAAACAAAACTTACATTTTCGTATAATCTAAAAGTGTCAAAGAAGATGCTAATTTAAAAATTCCTGGAAGCCGTATTTATTGAAATTAACGAAAGAAACTTGTTCTAAATTAAAGCTCAAAGTTTTCTGTTTAAAATGATGTATAATAATTGTTGGGTTGGATTGGTAAAATATTGAGAAAAAAAATGTTGAAATAAAACTAAAATTTTCGTATAACCTAAATGTGTCAAAAAAAGATGCTAATTTAAAAATTCTTGGAAGCCGTATTTATTAAAATTAAGGAATAAAACTTGTTGTAAATTAAAGCTCAAAGCTTTCTCTTTAAAATGATGTATAATAATTGTTGGATTGGATTGGAAAAATATTGAGAAAAAAAGTGTTGAAATAAAACTTACATTTTCGTATAACCTAAAAGTGTCAAAAAAGATGCTAATTTAAAAATTCCTGGAAGCCGTATTTATTGAAATTAAGGAATGAGACTTATTCTAAATTAAAGCTCAAAGCTTTCTTTTTAAAATGATGTATAATAATCGTTGGGTTGGATCGGAAAAATATTAAGAAAAAAAATGTTGAAAGAAAACTTACATTTTCATAATATAACCGAAAAGTGTCAAAAAAGATGCTAATTTAAAAATTCCTGGAAGTGGTATTTATTGAAATTAAGGAATGAGGCTTGTTCTAAATTAAAGCTAAAAGCTTTCTTTTTAAAATGATGTATAATAATCGTTGGGTTGGATCGGAAAAATATTAAGGAAAAAAATGTTGAAAGAAAACTTACATTCTCGTATAACCGAAAAGTGTCAAAAAATATTCTTTCTTGTATAGTAGAAAGTACCGACAGCTCTAAATGCGCGGAATAGATGACTACAGTTTAAAATGAGTGTTTAAAACTACCGGTACTTTAAAGTACCGTCGGGACACAAAGGGTTAAATGTTGTAAAATACTATGACATTATGTATATTACGTTACGGCTTTAAACGTCGTTATCTAATAGTTAGGTTGAGTTAGAAACTCAAGCTTTTCTTATATCAGTTCAAAATTATGTAACTCAAGTAGCTCTACAACATCTGAAAATTGAAGATCATTAAATGGCAAAAATNCAACCTAAAAGTGTCAAAAAAGATGATAAATTAAAAATTCCTGGAAGTCGTATTTATTGAAATTAAGAAATGAGACTTATTCTATATTAAAGCTCAAAGCTTTCTCTTTAAAATGATGTATAATAATAGTTGGGTTGGATTGGAAAAATATTGAGAGAAAAAATGTTGAAACAAAACTTACATTTTCGTATAATCTAAAAGTGTCAAAGAAGATGCAAATTTAAAAATTGCTGGAAGCCGTATTTATTGAAATTAACAAAAGAGACTTGTTCTAAATTAAAGCTCAAAGTTTTTTCTTTAAAATGATGTATAATAATCGTTATGTTGGATTTGAAAAATATTGAGAAAAAAAATGTTGAAATAAAACTTACATTGTCGTATAACCTAAAAGTGTCAAAAAAAGATGTTAAATTAAAAATTCAACAACATTAAACAAAATTAAAAACCCTACAGTGCGGATTGTATCATTTTTTATACAGTTTCTTTCTTGTATAGTAGAAAGTACCGACAGCTCTAAATGCACGGAATAGATGACTACAGTTTAAAATGAGTGTTTAAAACTACCGGTACTTTAAAGTACCGTCGGGACACAATGGGTTAAATGTTGTAAAATGCTATGACATTATGTATATTACGTTACGGCTTTAAACGTCGTTATGTAATAGTTAGGTTGAGTTAGTAACTCAAGCTTTTCTTCTATCAGTTCAAAATCATGTAACTCAAGTAGCTCTACAACATCTGAAAATTGAAGATCATTAAATGGCAAAAATAAGAATTGCTCTCCATTTTCGTACTCATTACGAGTTGTATTTTTAGCTTTTTGCTACGTACCTATGCAGTAAATTTTTCTGAACGCAATGTTATAGTGAAAGATTGCGCTCCTGATATATGCTGTACGACATGTGTAAAAGATCTTACAGGTTGAGCAAAAAGAAAGTTTGTAAGAAGCGAACAAACCATTTTGCAGAACGTTTTCAGGATATGTGATCGAGCAATCTTAATGTAGTAGATTTCATTAATGCTTTTAACAACCGTTCATTTACTAGCAAGTCTTGGTATGGCAGAGATCAGAAGAGTTTCTTTATCCTAGAACCTATCATTTTAAATTTTGGAGGTCCGAAAAAACAAGATTTACAAACCAACATTCATTAAAGCTTCACAACCTTCCAAGAGACCTCTGAAAGCTTCTGAAATTGACAGAATTGGTAAAGTTGCTGCTTCATTGTTTAATAATAAATGCAGAGCAAAGTTTCTTTAGACATATAAGTATCTAAAAAGACGAAATTCAATAGATAATAAATTATACTAATGAAAGTTTTGAATGGAAAAGCGGGCCACATAGTGCATCAAGTGGGGAAATTAAGAAGAAAAGATTAATTAACTGCTGAAGGAGAGTAGCGCTTGCTCTCGATACTTGAT